CAGTCTAAGTACGGGCGTTGCGGTTGAGCCGCGAGCGCGCACTGTCTCTTTCGCACTCTCACCTTCCCAGTTATCTCTCTATGTCTCACACATTCCAGGCTCCTCGCTGCCGCGCTCGCTGTCCAGCAGCAGCAGCAGCAGCAGCAGCAGCAGCAGCAGCACTAACCGAGCAGTGCGCGTCATTCATTTACGACGGCCCCGCGTCCCCGCCGCCCCGTATACGGCGGCGTCCTTACCGAATGCCTCCGGTGGCACGCTCTGGAGCGCTCTGGAGGCGCTCACGTGTGCGCCGCGCTGCGCACCACTTGCACCGCGATGGCGCGCTATTCATTTTACGGACTCGCGCCTGACTCGTGTGCGCGCGTGTGTGTGTGTGTGTTTGTTTGTGAGTGTGCGCTGCTGCAGGGAGTCACCGCCTGCGGTTCTCGATGCCAGAGGGTATGGTAGTGGTAATTATTTGCAGCGATCAGGTGCGCCGTGATGGAAGGAGGCGGCAGTGGAAAGAGATGTCTTGGAAAATAAACAAATTTATTTTATGCTCGCTCGCTTCTCTCGCAGACTGTCATTAATTCGCTCGGGCCTCGCGCGGCAACCAGCCGGGGTCCTCGCCCCGCCCGCACCCCTGAGGGTGGTGCAGCAGGCCCTCGTCACGGAGAGCTATTTTAAACTGTCGAGAAGAAATCGAAAAGTAAATGAAATATTTCCCTCGAAAATCAAAGGCTGAAACGTTTTTCGGAAAATTAACAAAAATCAATAAAATTCCCGAAATTTGGAAAATGAAAATTCCTTGTTGCTCGCCGGGGTCCTCGCGCTCAGCCTGAGGGAGGGGAAGGACCCCAAAGTGAAGCTTCCCTCCCCCCAAGGAGGGTTAGGGCTCCCCTGGCCCTGGTGGAGAAGGCCGATGCCCCAGAGGAGAGGCCCAGGCCCGCCTCGCAATTACAAATGACTCAGCCGCATGAAGGGGGTTTTCAATAACGATTAGCGCGTCTACTACGGGCCTGCCGGTGCAAGGGTCAAGTATGTGAGCCGTGCATGTGCACGTGTGCGTGTGTGTGTGCGTGAGAGAGAGAGAGAGAGAGAGAGAGAGAGAGAGAGAGAGAGAGAGAAGGGGCGCATACAGGCCTGCCGGCAGACCCCAATTACCTGTCGCCGCCAAACAAGTCTTTTCCCACCTTCGTATCGTCATCATAGCGTGTGTGTTGTGAATAAGCGAGCAAACGAAAAAGGAAGAAAACGAACGGGGAAGAGGAAGGGGGCGAGGGGCTGGTGGCGGCGGCAGGAAGAAGCGCAGCGGCGGGGCGGCTGCATGGGCCTGTCAGGTCGGCGGAACAGGTCTTCATCTCCCTTCGCGCGCGAGTTCTGTTCAGCGGAGAGGAAAAAGGTTTCCTCCCGCACGCTGCTGGGGATCGATTATTTATGAACATCTCTCAAAGCGTTCCCGGTTTGCATCCCGCACGAGTGTGTCCTCAGCCTCTGCCGAACCCCCTGCTCTGGTGGAGTACTCTTCCTGGTCCGCGAAGCTGCAGCCATGCAAGTCATGCAAATCGAGCGCACTCTACTGCGGCTGCTCCCCTGCTGCTCCGCTCGAAATAATTTTGAGCCAATTAAAATGTGGTCCAAGGACTTGCTCTGTGCGCGTGAGTGGGAGGGAGAAGGAGTTGGGGGGGGGGGGTAGAACAGCCAGTAGTGACGCTGCCCCCGCACTAGTGAGCTTTCACTGCCCATTCAGTCAGTCGCACCCACCCGGTGCAAGGCGCCAAGGCCCGGACCGTCAAGCTTCACTTCGCCTCGGCTCGGCGCCAAACTCAAGGACTCGGTGCGCCCCGCCGCCTGTGTAACGCGTTTCAAGTGTGTGACGCTCGGGCAGCGCGGAGGTGCAAGCTGCTGACCCCCGTGACCCGGCGGGTAAGCGCAGCGCGGCGGGAAGAGCGGCGGTGTAGACCGGGCCGGGCACTGCACGCGATGCATTCGAATGAGAGAGGAGGGGGGGGGGGGAGGACAGAGCAACACGACTAAAGTCGCGGAGAGGCTGAATATTTCCGATTATCTCGCGTTCGCCCGGGTGGCGGTGCCAGGGCGCGGTGGCCGCGTGGACTTGGTAATGGCCTCCGCCGGGGACCGGGCGCCCCCGTCGCCGCGCTTACGAACTCGTTCACACCTCATCACCTCTCCTGTCGCCGCGGGCGCCCGGGCCGTGGAGGCGACCTTTCAGCAGCCGCAGCTGCGGCAGCAGGACCGACGCTAGGATGAGGAGGTATGGGAGCGGCCCGAGGAGGGCTTCATGTGAATGCATCTCTCCGATGCTTGCTTCGTGAGCAAGCAATCTCCCCTCCCCTCCCTCACCCGCTCCCGCACCGCGCCGCCCGCCGACGCTCGGACGGTGCACGCGATAATCGCGACAGGGCCGTACCCCCAAACCCTTTGGTATTTTTGGGAGGGGCTAAAAGGAAAAACAACGTGTAGAAAAAAGGTAGTCTGATGTGGTAAATGGGGGGAGTGAGAGGAGGGGGTCTTAAACCGCGTGGCGCGCACGGTGGTGGCGTGCTTGTCGCCCGAGGGAGGAGGGGAGGCGAGTGGGGAAGGCGGAGGTGAGTGAAGGTGAAGCGGCTGATTATCCTGCCATTAGGATGGATGCCTGACGCAGCCCGTCGCCGAATTTAGCAGGGGCAGTGCACCGCGTCGAAAGCGCGCCAAGTCCCGCCGGCGGGCGCTGGCAGCACAGCTCAGCCCGCCGCGCCGCACCGCGCTGCTGCACCGCGCGCCCCGCCCCGCCACGCCCGGCGCACAATGCCGGCCGGGGCGCGGAACTCCCTCTTGTTGTGATGACGGTGCGCAACGCATTGATCGCTAACGAGACGACGACCTTGTTGTTGCAGACGAGGAGGACATGCAGCGGCCGGGGCTCAGCCCGGGGCTCAGCCCGCTCACCCGCGTCGAGATCGTCCACGTCAACGCGTCGGACGGCACGGCGCTGCCGCCGCCGTCGTCGTCGTCGTCCAGGGCCAGGCGGTCCGTGGGCGGCTACCGCTACCAGGACGACGAGGCGGCCGGCCAGCGGGCCCACTCCATGGAGCTGATGGTGGTGACCGACAAGCGGATGACGGACTACCACGGCGAGCAGAACATCATCAACTACGTCCTCACCCTCATGTCCATCGTGAGTATACTACGGCACCCAAGGCGGAACGTCGTAAGCCGGCCGCTTGTCGCCCTCATGTCCCCACATTTGTCGCGGGCGTTTAGATTGGTAGAGATTGGGTGTCTTTTTGACATCGAAGCGGGAGCCCAATGACTTAATTTCGGCATCCTTTCTGACCGAGCCGCTCGCCGAGCCGTTCCACGTGGGCGGCGACACTTTGTAATGAGCTGACACGTACGTCCGGTGACGGCGGCATTTCATATTCCGACCGTGAGCTTGTCGGTCTGCGGGAAGGAGGGGGAGGGGTGCTGGAAAACTTTATGGCATTCCCGCTACGCGTTCCACTGTGCGAGTTACTCCCCCTGTTGCCCAGCACAAGGATGATTTGATGATTTGCCCGTCCCTCTGAGTATAACTCAGAGAGCGGGTGACCCGCGGGTTCAAACACACACGCCTCCTCCGAGTCGTATCGTATTTTCCAGCGGTCAGCCCAACAGCGGTGCCGCCCATCTGCGCGCCGCGCGGGGTAACGCGAAACATCCAAGGTGACGCTATATCGACGCCCGACGACGTCGAAATCGCGTAAACTGTTCGGCTGAAAAATTCATAGAGACGACGTCGTAAACTATAGCTTCGTCTCGAAGCCGAAGCGAGCCCCGGGCGTTGAGGTCTCACTCACATCAGCTTACGCCCTGGCGTGCCCTGCAGGTCGCCATGGTGTACAAGGACGCCAGCATCGGCAACCCCATGACGGTGGCCGTCGTCAAGCTGGTCGTGCTCAAGTCCGACGACCCGGACTTCGTGCCCGAGTCCCGGCGGCGCAGCGGCGGCCGCAGCACCTCCGCGGCCGAGATGCTGCGCCGGTTCTGCCAGTGGCAGAAGGAGCACCACCACCAGGACCACGACACGGCGCTGCTGCTCACCAGGTAGGGAGGGTCAACTGGGGGCCAACTGCGGGTTAAATAAAATCAGGGTACACCCTCAAAAGAAATCATGAAGAATCAAGGAAGAATAAATTTAAAACTCAGGAAAAAATCAATGGAAAATCTATTTGAAAATCAGCTAAAATAAAGAAAAACAATTGCTTGTACGCTTGAATTTCTAGTGAAGAACCCCTCAGGTAAGGTACTCGTCACCGTTGGATGCCGGAACATTGTTTCTTCCCGATTCCCCGCCTGCCACGCTAGCTCGCCCCTCGCGGTTCTAATTACCGGCTGACATTGATGCAGACGCATGGGGCGCCACCACTGGGAGGCACGTGTGATTGTTCTCTCGGCGGCGTGTATATGCACATGAAAGGTCGCTCTCGTACGCGCGCCTCTCTGCTGCCCAGCGGCGGCCGCAGGCGATAAGGAAGTGTGGTGGTGGCCACTCACTCCACCCCCTGCCGCGAGTGTGAGAGTGTGTGGGTGTATATGTGTATGTGTGGTCAGAGGGGAGCCGAGCCGTCATCGCGCCCAGCAGCCTTGACATTCTGACCGACACACGCCGCGCCGTGCCGCCGTACGTGTCCAGCCGGGACGGGACGGGTCGGGCTGCTCGAGGCACTAGTACCCCGCTGTAGCCGTGCCAAAGCGACGGACGCGCCCAGCGAGACGTGTGCGCCCGGCTGTCCGTCAGGCCCGCCAGGCTCGCCGCCAGGACGCGGCATGTGTGTGTATGTGTGTTGCCAGGGCGCGCTGAAATCTGTGAATAATGGCATTTTCCTTATTCGCCGGTCGCTTTCCCCCAGCCTGGCCGGGGCCCGGGCGTGCACTGATTTGCTCGCTTTGGACCAGGTCCCCCGCCCCGCGCCGCCCCGTTTGGCGACGTCGTGAGGCTGCCCGGTTCGGCCTCATTGTGGCTGGTCGGGCTGCAGCGGCGGCGAGCCGGGCGGCGAGCGGTGCCCATATGGGAGGATATCCTCGCCTTTGTATGGAAAAACAGTTACCGATTGACGGAGAGGCACGACGCGACGCGGCGAGGCGAGTGGGTCGCTCTCTTGTCAGGTCATCGGGGACCGGTTTGGTTTGCCCGCTCCTCGCACGTGGACCTGCAAGGGCCGGGGCCTCGTCCTGCCCTGTCGCGTCAGCGTCGCTCGCCCTGCGGGGCGGGGCCGCCTGCTGTCCCTGTCGTGCCTCCTGCTGCAGCCTCCATGCCCTGGCCACAACTCCTGCCTGCCTGCCGACTGACCACACCTCTGTTTGCTATTATGACGCAGGGAGAACATCTGTCGGAACCCGGACGAGAACAAGTGCGACACGCTGGGGCTGGCCGAGCTCGGCACCATGTGTGACCTGAACGCGTCGTGCGCCGTAGTGCAGGACAACGGGCTCTCTGCCGCCTTCACCATTGCCCATGAGCTCGGGCACGTGTAAGTATTACAGACGGTAACCTGCTCCTATGAGTAGGAACTTGAATTTTCTCAATAAGTGCGTTGGTAAATTTTTGAGGAGTTTTCCTTGAGGTTTTTCTAAACCTTCAAGTTTGTTCCGAAAAAGTTTTATGTTTTTCAAATTTTCCCGTTTTTTTCCGGAGAAGTTTTTAATTTTCCGGAAAATTTTCTGGCTTTAAAATATCTAGCTGTGAGCTTGCCCCTGCCCGCCCCTGCCCGCCACCCGCTCAGGTGGCGAGACGGCCTTGTCCCACGGGCCTCCCTCGATAAGTGACTGTTGGCGCCTCGCCGCCCTCCTCAAACTCGCTCGGGGCGTGCCTCGAGGAGGGGCCTGCCCTGTCCTGCCACGCCACGCCGAGCCGCGCCAGCGGAACTCTTTTGCGGACGAGAAACAGAAGCCGTGGCGCTCCGCTGCTGGGCCCCGCGCTTTGCGCTCCCGACATGTGGCGCCGCGGCGCGCCGTTGCGTACGGGGGCCCTGCAGCCCCGGCCCCTCGGCCTGGCAACCGTGTTGGGGAAGGGCCGCCGCCGGGGAGCAGAGGCCTTGAACTTAACATTCGCGGTGCTCTGAAAAAAATAGGCGTGTTGGTGAAAACGTAGCAGCGATGCAGCGATGCCTCTTCGGCGTTTCCCGTTTCCCCTTCGCAAAAATGCTAAGAAAGCTTTTACTGAGATGTCAGGGCATGGGTTCCGCCGACCCTGCTGCTTTTCCCGAAAACACGTCGAGCACCGTTGAATCAAAGTCACCGCGTGTTTTTCCGATTGCACTGCGCAGCGCTCTCACGCTCTGAAGCAGCGCCTCGCGGAAACGGGCGCATTGGCGTCTGCACGTGCTGCGCCAGGCAGTATGTACGCGGCGGTTGCCGCGGCCAGCAGTAGCTTTCGCTTCTGGGAAATAAGTGATTAATTTTGGGGCCGTCGGGGGGGCCTGGCCTGGCCGGCCGCGCGGCCGTTCGGGAGGAGGGCGATCTCCAAGGCCTAGGAGAGCCTCGGGCCTTGAAGTCCGCGGCGGCGCGGGGCGGGTCTGTCTGTTGCCCGTCATCGCCTCGCCTCGCCTCTCCTCTCCACCCGGGCCTTGGCCGGCCACGGCCGCTCCCCCCGACGGCAAGCCTATGGCCTGTAACGCTCAGTAACGCCCCGCGTAACGCCAAAGGGCGTTTATTGCGGCCGGGCTGTAAAACCCGTAACCCCTCCCCACCCCCTTGCCCAATGCCCCTCCTCCTTCGTTGCCCCGCACTCGGCGACCAGAAGCTCGGGGAATAAAAAATAAAAATGAAAACGGCGGAAGCAGCGGGGAATAGAGGAGGGGGGTGTCGGCAGAAGTGTAAAGGCGACGACAAAGCCGCCGGCCTCCGCTTTAAAGAAAGCGAAAATAATAATGGGGTGTAATTCCACCTGTCGCAGGCTCAGCATGCCCCACGACGACGACCAGCGTTGCGACGCCTTCAACGGCAAGTCCTCGATCACCAACGTCATGTCGAGGATGCTGGACCACAACACGCACCCGTGGTCCTGGTCCAATTGCTCCCGCCACTTCCTCACCGAGTTCCTCGAGTAAGTATCGAAGCCTCCCGCCATGGGCGGGCGCGGGCAGCGGGCGCCGGGCTCGCGGCGCGCGGCAACCGGCGCCACAGGCTGCACGTTGGGCTGCCCACCCAGCGGGCGGGCCCCGCGCGCCGCTGCCTCCGTCTGACCGCGGCCCTTGCAACTTGTGTGCCCCGCAGCGGCGGCTACGGCAAGTGCCTCGGCAACGCCCCGTACAAGGACTTCATCACCGAGAGCTCCGCCTCCATCAAGCTGCCCGGCGAGGCCTTCACCGAGGACCGGCAGTGCGAGTTTGTGTTCGGCCGCGGCTCCAAGATCTGCTCTTACATGGTGAGTACACGCCCGCCATTCGCCGCTAAGAAACTTCAAAGTTCCGCCGTTGCGAGCTCCCATGGCGCCTGATAGGTAGGCAACATCTTGCCACTACTGCATGCGTGTACTGCGGGGTGGCCTACCCTAAGACTCGCAGGCGCTGAGCTACGCTACCGACCTCAGGCGCTGAGCTATGCTACCGACCATCCATAATTCACTTCGACTGACGTGGAAGGGGAAGTCTTTTGGGAAAATTTTCCAAGATCTTTTTGAGGGGGCTCCTAAATTATTCCTTTTAAAAGTGTTTATTTTTCCAAATTATTTTGGATGTATTCCAATTTTTTTCTTTTTTTTTTCTGGAAAATTTTCGAACTATAAAATCTCCAAGACTGCCTAATGACTGACGTCGTTCTGTCCGTTCCAGCCAGTGTGCTCGCGGCTGTGGTGCACGACGGACGTGGGCGAGCAGGAGGGGTGCCGGACGCAGCACATGCCCTGGGCGGACGGCACGCCGTGCGGGGAGCGGCGCTGGTGCCAGCGGGGCAGCTGCGTGCCCAGGGACCGGGTGGCGCTGCAGCCCGTCGACGGCGGCTGGGGTCCCTGGCAGGGCTTCGACGACTGCTCCCGCACGTGTGGCGGGGGCGTGCAAAAGTCCACCCGAGACTGCAACTCCCCTTCGCCCGCCAACGGCGGCCGCTACTGCGTCGGCCGGCGCGTCAAGTACCAGTCGTGTAACACTTTCGAGTGCCCGGAGGGCAGCAAGGACTTCCGGTGAGTTGGATAAAGTTTTGTTTCCAGAGAGTAAGTTTTAAATGTGTTGTTGAAAACTAACAAGCTCTTAAATTTTATGTTTAATTATGCATTGAAAAGTTTAGTTTTAATTAACCTGTGGATGTGTGCATCCGGCTCCGGTCTGCTTCTCCAGGCTGGAGCAGTGCGCGCAGTTCGACGGGACCAAGTTCAACGGCCTGGGCAACGACGTCCGCTGGGTGCCCAAGTACGTGAAGGGGGACTTTGGCGGCGGCTCGCTGGACGAGCGCTGCAAGCTGTACTGCAGCGTGTCCAACACCAACATCTACTACAAGATGATGGAGAAGGTGGTGGACGGCACGCCCTGTGAGGTGGGCGCCTACGACATCTGCGTCAGCGGCGTGTGCCAGCCCGCCGGCTGCGACCACGTGCTGTCGTCCACGGCCAGGCAAGGTGAGGTGGTGCCAGCCCAGGTCGGTCGACAGACGAGGTTCTGTCCCCAACAGCGCCCGCCGACGCTGACCCCCTTGTCCTGCCCACAGATCGTTGCGGACGCTGCAATGGCGACAACACGACCTGCCAGGTGGTGACCGGAGCGCACAATCACACTCAGTTCGGCTACACCGAGGTCACCCGCATCCCGGCGGGCGCCTCCAACCTGGACGTCAGGCAGTACGGCTACCGAGGCATGAACAAGGATGACACTTACCTGGGTGAGTGGGCGCGAGCCAAGCTTAGCGCGTACGGCGTTCCGTCGAGCCGTCCATCATGGGTTGATTCCGTTTGTTTCTCGTGTCGCAGCTCTGGTGGACCCAGAGTCCGGCAAGTACCTGCTGAACGGCAACTTCGTAGTCACCCTGTCGCAGAGGGGCATCGTGTACGAGGGCGTCGCGCTGGACTACTCGGGCGCGGCCGAGGTGGTGGAGCGCCTCAACTGCACGCGCACGCTGAACCGGGAGCTGGTGCTGCAGGTGCTGGTCTCGGGCAAGCTCAACCCGCCCGACATCCACTGGGAGTACACGGTGCAGCGGCCGGCCGAGCGCTTCCGCTGGACGCACGCGGACGCGTGGACGCCGTGCGACGCGGCGTGCAACGGCGAGCGGCGGCGCGAGGAGGTGTGCGTGCGCCTGGACACGGGCGGCGAGGTGCCCGCCGAGTACTGCGACCACCTGCCGCGCGCGCCCGCCCCGCAGGCGGAGCGCTGCAACCCCTGCACCGTCCAGTGGCACGTCGTGTCCACGTCGCCGTGCTCCGTCTCGTGCGGCCGCGGCACGCAGACCCGGGTGGTGCAGTGCCTGCAGACGCAGCTCGAGACGCGCGCGTCGCACGCCGTGCACGACGCGTCGTGCGCGCACCTCCCGCACCGGCCCGCCGACGTGCAGGAGTGCGAGGCGCCCGCCTGCGAGACCTACTCGTGGAAGTACGGCAAGTGGCGCGACTGCTCGGTGACGTGCGGCGCCGGGGTGCAGCAGCGCGCCGCCTGGTGCGTCACCAGCAAGGGCGAGATGGCGAGCGAGTCGCTGTGCGAGGCCACCCGGGAGACGCAGCGCGCCTGCCACGACCAGAGCTGTCCACACTGGGAGCTCGTCGACTGGACTCCGGTACGTGTAGCCCACCGAGGGAGCCCGGTAAAATTTTGCCAAAAAGTTATTTGAGATTTTTACAACAAAAAATTGCTTAAAAATTTGAAGGAAAATGAGCAATTTTTAAAAACGAAAATTTTCGATTTTACAATTAGTGTTTACCGCTGTGCTATGTTCACAGTGCTCCGTCACCTGCGGTGAGGGCATCCGAGAGCCGGCTTATGCGTGCATGGTGGACAGCCGCACCGTCTCCCAGGACTACTGCGACCCTGCGCAGCGGCCCAGCATGACCAAGCGCTGCAAGGAGCGAGCCTGTCCCCGGTGGGAGACGGGCGATTGGGAGCGGGTGAGTTGGATCGCCATTAGCCGTGAGGTAGTGGAGCTTGCATTCGTAGCCGTCGGCGGTAGAGTGTAGCGTCGTGCTGTGCTTGTAGTGCTCGGTGACATGCGGCTCGGGTACCACGGTGCGCCAGGTCTGGTGCGCTCAGGACGGGCAGAAAGTGGACGACGGCCTCTGCAGCAGGACGACGGAGCGGCCCGCCGTGTCGGAGCACTGCATGCTGATGCCCTGCCCGGTAGGCTGGAGGCTTTGTGGTAGAACGTCAACCGGCTGTAGCGATGGCTGGAGACTCAACAAAGAGCCGTGTCCTAACCAAACCTACCTTGCTGCAGCTGACCACCACGACAACGACCACGACCACCACCACGACCACCACTCCGCCCCCGCCGCGCTCCGCCGCTCGCGTCCTGGACCGAGACGGCAACGACTGGCTCCGGAGGAACGTGACTCTTCACAACGAGCGCCACCACCACCGCCACCACTACACCGTGGACACCGACGACAACAACGAGCTGCCGCCGCTCGCCGCCCCCGACGGACGGTTCACCTGGCGGTACTCGGAGTGGACTCAGGTGAGGGCGCCGGTCTCCAAACCCACCCGCGTCGTTCGTGCGTCCCGGCCCGGAAATGTCAGACTGGCTTTTGTTTCAGTGTTCCACGCCGTGTGGGTGGGGCAGCCGCCAGCGTCGGGTGCGCTGCGAGGACCTCAAGCTGGGCAAAGCGGCGGAAGACTCGCGGTGCCTCAAGCCGCGGCCGTCGTCCACGCAGCCCTGCTACCTGTCCCGCTGCGCCACCTGGATGACGGGCGAGTGGACGGCGTGCTCGGCGGACAAAACGTGCCAGGCGGGCGCGGCGCACGCCCAGGGCGCCCAGCAGCGTACAGTGGAGTGCGTGGCCACGGACAGCGGCAAGGCGGTGGACGAGTCCTCGTGCGCGGGCGAGCGTCCCGCCGGCGAGCGACCCTGCTCGTGCACGGGCGCGCCCAGGGCCGTCTCCGCGAGCACCGCCGCCGCCCCGGGGTCCGGCGCGGTGGTGCTGGCCTCCTCGGGCGGCTGGAGGACGGGGCCCTGGGGGCCGTGCACCACGACCTGCGGCGGCGGCACACAAGGCAGGCCCGTCGTCTGCTCCTCGTCGGAGTGCGAGGACCAGGAGAAGCCCCCGACGTACCAGACCTGCAACCACCACGCGTGTCCGGCCTGGAGCCAGGACGAGTGGGGCAAGGTAAGCAATCATCCTCAATATTTTTCAATTTTCTTTTCTGGAAAAGTTTCCAATTTATCCAGAATGAATTGCCGGTCTTTATAATCCCCACTCCGCCCTGTTCCAGTGCTCCGTGCCGTGTGGGCCCGGAGGCGTGCAGACGAGGCCCTTCCTCTGCATGTCTTGGCAGAGCGAGGTGGTGCCCGAGGGGAGCTGCGCCGGCGAGAGGCCCCCGGCCGAGACTCGGTCCTGCCGCGGCCCGCCCTGCCGCCCTGGCCCTGGCAACAAGCAGGGGGTGCCCACTAGGGGCTTCACGTGGCGGCCCAGTCCCTGGGGACCGGTGAGTGACGAGGACGAGCAGGAGGTGGTCCCCCGCCGGGCCCTGGCCCCTGTACTGTAGTCTGTTATGACAAGCTCACTGTAGCTCCACAGGATAATGCGAATAATGGAAGTCTAACTCTGAACTTTGAACTCTTCCCTCTCTACTCCTTGTTCACGTTAGGTGCAGTTTCTTCGTACTCCTTCTCTGTCGCCTGAGGCATAGGCGCTCTTGCCCCGCCACGGCAAATCTTCTAGTCACAGCCTTCAACATATGCTTATTACAGCCTGTACGTTGTGGCGTTTGTTTGTGTGCGAGACATTTATGGGATATTTTTTTTCTCGAATCTTGAGACTTATTTTTGTTTTGTTTCTGACACAAATCATCAAAATCTTACGTTTTTGGTTTTTAATTTATACTCGTTATTCAGCAGCTTGCTATTTTCATCATCAAAATTAATGCTTCTATATTTTTCTTTGATATGTTTCATTATCTAAACGTCAAGCTTAATTCATTTTTCTGAAAATCGCACTTTAGCACAGTGCACTTTATGCCGTGGCACAGACATTATATCATTACCCTACCCTACAACTGTTCTCTGTACAGTCTTCCTTCACTTCCACATGTCATTCCTCTTCTCTGTAGCCTTAGGTTACTAATGCAGTAGATAGAACCGTAGTAATTAATACCAATAATAACTGTACATTTCTGTATAATTTTGAGAATCCTGACCCTCTATTTCCTGTGTTAACGGGTCGCCGATGAGGGAAGGCCAAGGCCACCAGCAAGACGATCTGTACGCTTATTGCAATGTGCCATTTTGTGTACGCGTCCCAAACCTCGCCTTCCCTCTCGGCACCGCTCACCGAGCCGCTCACCTTGTGCACGCACCTGTCGCAATGAGGTTCTCATGTCCACGCAGTGCTCTCGAAAATGCGGCGACGGAAAGCGCGTGCGCGAGGTTCCCTGTGTGAACATAAAGACCAACAAGACCGTACAGGAGCTCTTTTGCCGCGCGCGCCGCCGGCCCCGCCTGCAGAGCGGGTGCTACCGCCGGCCCTGCCCCTTCGACTGGGTCGAGGGAGCCTGGTCAGAGGTATCACGCACTCCATATTTTTTGATTTTATTTTTGTTTTGGGTTTATTTCACTTTTTGGTGTGCTCTCGGTTTTTTTGCACCCTTTTTTTGTCTTTTGGTTGTTGTTTTTTTGCGGGCGCTACTCTTGCAGCTTCCTTGTTTCTCCTCTCCTTTAATGCATGCAACGGGCACGATGGGCTGCATGGCATGAATGTTGGTGTTTTCGGCATGTTGTATTTTTATCATCGCAATCATGTATTAAACTGTGCTGTTGAGTCAACCGTTATTTTATTCATTTTATTAGGTGCTGGTTATCAATGCATGACTCTGCCAGAGTAATGGTCTTTCGGTGGGATGCCAGGTTGCTGAATCGCCTCGTCCACTTGCAATTGTAGTAACACTATATGCGCGAGCGAGACGGCTTTGCTACCGTCACCTCACGGCCCGAGCCGGTAGCCAACCCGCCCGCACGCGAGCATGCGGTACAGTCTAACTACGGAACGGTTTACACTGTTTGCGTGTGTAAAGGGTTCTCCTGCCGCCTCTTACCTTATTGCGTTATGGCCCCGATCTTCCTCGAGGCAAGGTCTCTAAAGTCAATTTACTTCTCCTGCACTAAAGAAATAAAAATGAAATTTTGGAACGGTTTCAGTGGGGATATTCTTCTTGAGCATTTTACACATCTCTCGCTATGTTTCTCCTCGTATCGGCCAATGATACATGCATGCAAATTTTCTGATTTTGGTCTGGATTTGGGCACGGCTTTATCGTTCTCACCTGCGCGCTGACACCCCGCTCTCTGGTCCCCGCAGTGCTCGCAGAGCTGTGGCGGCGGCCTGCAGTTCCGCTCGGTGAGCTGCCGGCGGCTCAACGCGTACGGCTGGGTGGACCCGGAGCCCGTGGCGCCCGAGGGTAAGTGCGACCCGGCGCTGGCGCCGCCCACCTCGCAGCGCTGCAACGAGCGGAGCTGCCGCGCGCCCTTCGCGTGGGAGGCGGCCGAGTGGGGGCCGTGCTCGCAGCCCTGCGGCCGCAAGGGCCGACAGACCCGACGCCTCTTCTGCAAGCGCGCCGACGGCCGCCGCGCCCCACGCTACCGCTGCCCGCGCGAGCAGAAGCCCGTCCGGAAGCGCAAGTGCAACCAGCGGAAGTGTAAGTAGGAATATTCCCGAATTTTCCATAAAGGTACTTTTGGGAAATTTGTCAAGATTTTTCTGAAAATATCTGAAATTGTTTCTTTCAGATTTTTAATTGTTTCAAATTTCTCTGGAAATATTTCGATTTGTTCCAATTTTCCATGGGAATGTTTTCTTGTAAATCCTTGCTCACCCTCTTTGTCGGCCCTCGTGCAGGTGGGCTCAGCTCGTGCGAAGAGGCGCGCCGCGTCACCGGCTCCGTCCTGGACGCCGAGTACCAGCTCGTCGTGGGGGGCAAGAACATGTCCATCTACTGCTCCGGCATGAACGGCTCCGCGCCCCTCGAGTACCTCACGCTGCCCGCCGGTGAGCGGGACAACTACGCCGAAATCTACGATCAGAGGTGCGGCTGGAAACTCCGACTGCGCGATCACGACGGCGACGATCTGCTTTTGTCGTGAATTTGTTTTCAATAACTGCCTGTCCTGGTTGCAGCCTTATACACCGCCGGTCATGTCCGTACGGCGGCATTCGCAATGAAAACTGCTCTGTGTGCACGACGAACAAGCGCAGTCCCTACGGACTGACGATCTTCACTCGAATACGACTCGATGTGAACTCCCTCCGCGTGAGAAGTAAGCATCAAGCGTCTTTGAGAAGTGACCCCGCCTGACGCGATGAGGCAAAGGAAAGATTCCCATTTTCACCTGCACCTTCTGCTTTCAGCGGACGACTGGGCGTTCTCCCGGCAAGCCAAGGGGAACCACCAGGTCAAGTACGGCGAGGCCGGCGACTGCTACTCGTCGCTCAGCTGCCCCCAGGGGAGGTTCGCCGTCAACCTCCAGGGCACGGCCTTCAAAGTGTCGGAGGCCACGACCTGGGCCGAGTACGGCAAGGACCCCTCCATCCGCGTCAACCGCTACGAGGTGGGTATATTAGTGGTGACCTTTAAATCCGCGGCCTCACGTTTTGTTTTCTTCATCGCGGTGACTTGTTTGGTGAGGAAGTTGCCGTGGAAGTATGTGGATCGCTTCCGCGCGTGATGTGGTCGGTCGCGTGCTAACTGCCGTTGTTGTGCAGGGCGGGCGGAGGGTGACGGGGCTGTGCGGCGGCTACTGCGGGGGCTGCCGCCCCTTCCAGGGCCTCAAGCTGGACGTGCTGCCGCCGTAGGGGCGCCACAGCCGTGCCGAGGGGAGGTGAGGTACGTCGTTAAACTCTGCTCTCTAGTGCGAGTGCGTCACGTTTAAGGGTTATGCCGACCCTCATCCCAGTGAGAAATGCGGATATCGAATAGTGTATTTCGACTAACGGAGGAAGAAGAATAGCGGGTAGAACATAAAGATTCCTGATTGGCCAAACGCGTACCCCCACGCCTGGCGTGACGTAGAGGCGGAAAGCTCTCGACCAATCGGTAACGTTTATGTTCTACCCGCTGTTTTTCTTCCTCCGTTAGTCGAAATACACTATTGATATCAAAACGATATCGGACATCAGAAAAGTGTCGATTTCGGGCCCATTTTCATATCAGTTCTGAGTCAGAGGCTTGAAAACGATATCGTTCTGATATCAATCCGATATCGCTTAAAATTCATTTCGCACTGGGTTGGTGTCTCTCTGCCATCAGACAACACCTCCTGGTTTTGCCGGAGGCGCCATCCAGCGCCCTGAAAGAGTGCCACCCGCGGGTCCACCGGGAAAAAGGGAAGCCCGGAGAAATGGAACCCGGAGTCGCGGAAATCTAAGGCGATCGCTCGCCGATGTGCTCGACGCGCAACGCCGTGCCGTGACCAAGTCCACGCGAGGTCCCCGTTGCGTCAGCGTCACCCTGCATCCTCCTACCCACTTCCGTCCCCGTCAAGAAGCAAAAACTTGGCCGCCTTCTACTGCCCGGCATGTAGTCATTTCCACGATTGCTTTTCTCTGCTGCCGTCGATATTTTTGTAAATTTATGAAAGTAACTTTGCCCAGACTTTGGTCGTCCTCGTCCTCGTGCTGAGCACCGTTCAACAAGTCCACTACCGGCGCTTTATTTTCTGTTAAACGTGGTAAAATTGTGGCTAAACTTTTGTGGACCGTGCCATAGATTGTATTTTGAGCCCGTGTGACAGCGTTGGCTTAGCCCAGGCGTGATGTTTCAGACCACCTACTGCCATATTTGACTCACGCTCGTCTGGCTTGCGGGCCGGTCTAACGACTGATCGAAACTATATGCGCCACAACATTGTGATACTGTTCTTCTCTGTATAAATCTCCTCTGCCATCGTAGTATCCATACGGATGGCTTTCACCAATGGACCATCCACTCGACTGCCGACTTCTGATCTGCCCTTTATTTCTGCCTACTGCCTGTGTTACCTATGGGGTTTCAATTTTAGTCCGTAATTAATTTTTAAGTTTCAGGAGGTTCCATATCTCCTATGGTTCTGTTCCTAAATGGCTGTGCATGTCAGCAATGCAATTGTTGTGAATGCCCATTATGTTGTGTGTGGGCATTCCCTCATGTATGATTGTACGTATGTATAGGTATGTATGAAAGTGTAAGTATGTATGTATGTACGTATTACTAGATGTATAGGTATTTATTTATATAAACTGAAAAACTTCTGTGTTAGCTGAAAGTTGAATGTTTGGTGACCAGTGGCTGACAACGTCTAATGTCTAGGTGGTTTATCTTACATCACACGTGACAGTTTGGTAAGTGTCATTATTTATTTTTGGAAGAATGTTGTATGTTCTTTAGTCCATGTGGACCACCTGTACCTGGTATGCATCCATATATACCTGAGTGTTATAATGGTATTTGACATTGATGTCTGAGTTGTTATAGGCTAAATTATTTCTTTTTAATGAATATACTATACAAAATGTTGAAAACGAGATCGTGTCATAATATATCTGTAATTCTTCTCTCCATGTACCATGTTGAATGAATGCTTTTTGTTTGCCAATGAGTGGAGGGGCAGAGGTGACACATGTTGTTGGCGCTCAATCTTAAATATCTTGTCATCTCATCTAAGATCATAATTTTTCTGACTTAGTCATTTCCATAATGCCTAACTGTAAGATAGTTTTATCATCCAATTCATGTCCTCTCCCTCTTTCTATGCCTTTTAGTTAAGCTTATAATGTACAAAGCTATTTTATCATTGTTGAATCTCATCTTGTAACTACTGCTGCCATACCAGTCGCTCTGTATGTACATATGACCTTAAAACCGTCACCCTACATCCCCTTAAGTTACCATAATCACCATTAATATTTCAATGATTTTTTTTCTCTTGAATGCTTGTAAATAAAAACAAGATCTGATTATTAATGTAGAAAACTCAAGTGATCAAGCCAAATACCTTGTAAAATAAGAGACCAATTTGTTGCATTAAAATACCACACTGCAGACTGGTATACTATTTGGCTGTTACTTGTGTTATTTATTGATAAATATAATTATCACCACTGCCATACAATAATTTTGTGTATCATCAGTACGCAGAAATAAACATAAACATTTTCTCAAAAATATCATATCTTTATCTTAATTTTACTTACACTTACTCTTCTTTTCAAAAAAATTGTTCAAAACACTAATCTTTTCCAACCACTATGTGCGTAGTGTGTCTGTGTTGGCATAGAAGTTGACGAGGTTGATGAGACTGGTCGTCGTTCCTAGAATGAGGGCGCACACGCCGAAGCTGATGATGGCGATGTTCTTGTAGACCTTCCAGTTGCCCCTCCCCCGGCCGCCCTCCTTGTCCCAGAACACGACCATGTCGATGGCTGGGGGCAGGATGAGGCCGAGAGAGGCGAGACACAGCGCGCCAATCAGCGACATGAACACCTCCAGGGTCGGCACCGCCACCGCGATGACCACTGCACACACCATTACGACCAAATCAGACACCCAGCAGCTCTACACCAGGGGGGGGGGGGGATTTTCACCGCTACATTCGTATTTATACCAGGCGGCTGACTCTCGCCGCACACATTCGTAGTTATACTGTACCGCATGCGCGCGTGCGTGCGGGTTGCCTACACTGTAATTTGGGGGTGTCTAAAAAAGGGTTTGCTACAGGATCCCGAGCGACATTTGGAGTCTACTTTTGAGACATCTTTGGGGTATAGATTCTAGACATCTTTGCCCATACTACTCCCACGGCACAGTCCCGGCTTTGAGCATGCAGTTGTGAGGGTGTAAAGGACGTGAGCGCCTCTCCTTTCAGAGCTCTGGACCTTTGCTGTGATGTGGGAATGGCATGAATCAAGTATATTTTCTTGGAACAAGGTAAACGTCCTTGGAACGAGTCAATTTACTAAACCTGTGCTGGGAAATTTACACTTGTTCCGAGAATATTTACTTGACCTTGTGGAGTAAGCAGTACCTGACTTTTCATTTTCTATATATTTCTGTGATATATTTAATGTGAATAAAAGATTTCTATTCTATTTCTATTCTATTCTAGGACGCGGCACAACCTGGAACAAAGGGGCGAGCGAGACGCGAGAATACGCACCCGTCAGCGTCCCCAGGAACAACCGCAGCAGCGTCTCGTTGCGCACACTCTGCTCCCCGTACCGCCTCTCCACGGCCTTCATGATGATCTCGAAGGGCACGTAGAACTGCAGGAAGTACGTGAAGAAAATGGCGATGGACATCATGATCTTCACCGACTGGGCCAACCTGTTGTCCGAAAGGCCGAAGGTGTTACAGGTGCACACGGACATGTCCGTCGCCGTACGACCAACCCCGCGCGATCTCCAGTGGAGTCTCCACGTACCCCTCGGCGACGGGCAGGTTGAGCGTGATGGCGTCGCTCGTCTCATCGCCGTACTTGAGGTACCCGAAGAAGCCGACCGTGGTGTACAGTACGGTCGTCACGGTGAAGCCGAAACCCAGCACTCCCGGGCAGCCCGGAAACCGTCTGGGGTTCTTCATGTTGTTCTCCAGAGGCATAACCTGTTACGGGTCAAACATGAGGGACTCAGTAGGTATACTATTTGAGCATAATCATTTTGTTGACCGCATTGTGTGCGAGACGGAACAGTCGCGCTGGAAGGGGAGGGCGAGCGCGAGGCCAACTGCGAGGAGCCGGGTAGGCCGCTCCGCACGGCTGCCATGGCCGGCGGGCTTGCCTACCCACGCCACCGCAGGCGCCCGCCCGCTCGCCGCCGCTGCCCCGCCCTCCCTGTGGCGCTGCGCCTCCGCTTCGCCTTACCACGCCGATGCCCTCCAACGCGAAGATGACGGTCGAGAAGTAGAGCGGCACGGTCGAGTAGTGGCCGACCGCTTTGCGCTCGGAGGGCGAGGGCACGTCGCGCAGCATGTAGTAGAAGCAGATGATCATGCCGACCATGATGAGCGCGTTGGCCAGCATGGACGAGGGCGACAGGTACTTGAGGTCGCGCACCACGATGAACAGCAGGACGAAGGGCAGCGTGCACACGATGTACACCCGCAGGTCCTGCACGGGGTACTCGTGGTGCTCCATCACCTGACCGCCGAGAGGAACAAGGCCGTTCACGGGTTGTTCACAGGATCGCAGGGTACACTGTCCACCTGGGGTGTCCAGGAGCTGGGCTACTCAAGTCATATGTCTCAGGAATTCAAACAACTACCGGGTACGTTCCCGATACCTTACATTGCGCCATTATGAGGAAGTTGCCCGATAAGAGGAACAAAAAGAAGGTAGCGCTGAGGAGGTGGCGTGGCGTAGCGCCGTGCCTAAACAAAGCAGAATGCGGGCGACCATACTGTGTTTTGTCGCAAGTGGATGCATCCACATGTGTGATCATAAATCAAGTTTTGTTGAATTTCTAAAGAAAAATTGGGTCCATACTGGACCGGCGTAACAATCTTGTGTCAAAAAGTGCTTCTGTAAAGTTTGGCTTCGGAAAAGTAAGTTTATACCGGTTTATACAATCTTCTAAACCGTCCCGGTGTCGTTGTTTAGGTTAGTGTACGCGGACATATCGCATTGGTACAATTTTAACTCAATGATAATGACTCAACTGTCGTAAAAAGCTTTGGTATATAGGTGGTACCAAGGTGCTGGGTGCATAGGCCCCTTCTAAACTGTTTGAAATCTAACGACACGCATCCTAACCTCTGCTAGACGGTCGCTCATCTTCTGCTTTGGTTAGGGACGGCGCTACGCCACGCCACCTCCTCATATACTCGGTCTAGCGAAAGAGTGGTCTGAATAGCATGGGCTCTTATGGGCGGGTATATAAGGCCTCGGCGCACTCTTTCGCTAGATGGACCGTAGCTACCTTCTTCTTGTTCCTCTTATCGGGCAACTTCCTCATAAAGACCGTGGCTCATCCATGTGACTTACGTCGCCCACCTGCTGGTCACCTCAGATCTACAGTGAGGGCCTCCCTCACTGCTCGCACCGTGAAACGCACCTGCTTCATGTTGGACGCGATGAAGACGAGGTAGATGCAGCATGTCCCCAGGAGGTTGAGGGACATGAGCCAGTTGACGCTATGCCTGCAATGAGATCATCCTCGGCTATACTACAACAAGCCCTCCTTGTTCCCGGGCCGGCGGCGCGTTGCGGGCGCCGCATGATCCCCACTGACCTGCCCCAATCTGTCCGGCCCCCGCGCCCCGCTGACCGAGACCTTGATCCTCTAAGTGATCGCTACTCGGCGAGGGCCGCCATGGCCGCGAGAGGTCGGGTCGGTCCGGCCACTTAAGGAGGTTCAGCGGCGCGCAAGTACGACTTACTTGGCTATTCTCGACAGGAATCGGGTCCTTTTCGGCCCCGTTTTGAAGCCCAGCTCTGCGACCTCGGAGAAGTCCAGCTGCGGCACGCGCTCCCGGTGATAGAGCTCGTGTGCGGAAACGACCTGAAAGGGCGAAAGCGTCAGCGAGTGTATACTTTTTTGGAGCGCATCCCTCGATGGGTGTCCGCTGCAGACTGAGTGTTACGCACCAGCATGTGGACGCAGTACGTGCATATGAACCCTACGACTGGGGTGACGGCGAGGGAGAACCAAAGGCCTCCGTTCTGAACCGCCTTTGGCATGCCAAGAATACCCGATCCCATACTGCCCTTCATGAGATGCACGAGGGAGTCGACTTCACTGCAACGCGAATGAGGCACGGTCAAAGTTTCTCTCCAAAAGTAACATTTGAAGAGAAGACTGACTCTGGCTGGCACCCTCAAGAACTTACTTGGTAGGATGTTTAATGTCTCTGAGAGCAAACGGGTCAAAGTCGCCTCCCCGGCTGCGTACAGAAAGATAAACATGCCTCAAATTCCGTTCCGGGACGTCGTTCATCGCAGGCCTCCCGGCCAGGTGCTGACGCTCACCTCTCGACTGTGGAGGTGGTGGTAGTGGTGGTGGCCGCGGGGACGGTGACCGGAGCGGTGGTTTGTGCCGCATCAGTCGTCCGGTCTGGGCCCGCCTTCCCTGGAGGTCTCTCGGCCCTTAAAAAAAAACGAGCCCGTATTGAAAAAACAACATGGGTACTTATTTCCTGTGCGTTGTTCGTCTTCGGCATGCGGTGAGACGAGCGGCACACAGGACACAGGACGGCGCTTACATGTTGGCGGGCAGCAGGTGGGCTCAGCGTGCGCTCGTCAGACACACTGCACCACGCGGAGTCCCTCGGTCTTGGTGTCCGGCGCCCAGAGCGCCCGCGCTGTCACTGTGCGCGCTGTGCGGCCCCGCGGCGGCGCCACCCAGGAGGGTGGGGGCCCCGGGCCCCCGGGCTCCTCTAGGGCGGCGGAGCAGCGCGGAGCAGACGGAGCACCGGCCGAGGCCCCCGCGGCCCCCGCGGCCGCTCCGCGTCCAGCGCGTTGTCTGCAGGTCTGTCTGAGCATGGGAGGGGGGAGGGGGTGGCATCGCGGCCGGGCCGGGGACCCCAGTTGCACCTGACACCGTACACCTCGACTTTGGCATAACCGGGGTACACAATAGACAATGCGCACTTAAGCAAGGCATAGTGAGCTCCCCTCCTCTCCCGTTTCCATTCCGATTAATGATGTCAGGGTTTTGAGTTACAGGTGTTATGCATGTATGTTTTATGTTTATGTTAGAATACTGATTTACTGGTCGTTTCCTGTCTTCCGCCATCCCTGAGCCGCATTCGCGTAACCTTGGCCATGGAAAAATCCTTGATGCGATCAGTGCCTCGGACATATTATTGGCTGCCAATTGCTAAGAGAGGTCTGGTCGTTGGCGGGGCAGAGTGGGGCGGGGCGAGGTGGGGCGTTCCACGCGCGCACCCGCGCGGAGGGTGGAGAGGGCGGGATTGAGTACTTTGGGTGAGGTGGGGCGGTGGGGCGGGGCAGTCGTCGCGGTGGTCCTTGTTTCGCGCCTGTTCTGCTTGAGCGCCTCTTGTGCGCACAAGTTGAGCATTTGGCACAAGGACGAACTGGTGCCGCAATGCCAACGTTGGCATTTCGCATAATAAGGGGAAAACCTCTTTTCTTTAAATTGTTTCTTTTTTTTTACGGACGTCTCCGAGCGGCACAGCGTGTCATCTCACTCGCAAGGTCCGTTCTTCCAACTCGGCAATGAATGAATGCAGCCTTGAGTATCTATTCCCATCTCAGAGGCAGCCACACTCTGGACCGTACCGACGCACCGCTCACGCCGCACGTGCCTCACCCCTCACCCCGCCCCCTCCAGTAACGACATGTGACGGGTGGCGCACCTCTTGGACAACTTGACATGCACGGGAGGAGTGCGACCCGCACTTTGCAGAGGGCAGTAATGGATACAGTGCACAGCATGAGTCACTCGACTTACGGACGCGAAGGAAAAATCCCTTGGTCAAGTTGTCATGGCGTTGGTGGGAGGGGAAGGACGCTAACAATGGAATATGAATAGACCGATCGCACAGTCAAAAAGCCGAAAGAATGGTACTTTCTTCTTGGAAAAGGGATATTTTTGGATCTTTATTTTGAAAATCGTGCGTCACTCGCAATATCGGTTGTCTTCGAATTCAGTCTGTGATGCTTTTACTGTCACTACTTTTCATTGGAGTTCAATGTGAAATCAATTCCAAATTTTTATTTCATAATTTTAAAAACTCTCCTGAAATGTCATCAATCTCATCCGAATGCCGGATACACTACCCACCATCACACACAACTGACTTGACCAAAACGGGAGGAGTTGCATTGCATCCATTACATTCAGCGGCAGGTGTGCAGAGTTGCTACCGATTGGCGAGGTGGGTCAGTCCAAGAACCAAACTGATGGGGAACGTATGGATAGAAAGAGTCTTATTTAATAAATTGATGAATTTTATTTCACAACATCAATAAAGTGCTGTTGTTTGAGGTGTCTTCCTTGCAATGGGAGTCTTAAGTCTTAACTCACTAACAGCTAGTGCAGAATATGTACCATGTAAAGTTAGAAAGTACTTCAGAAGGCATTACTGTTAATAATACTGACTCCAATTGAAGACTGGCATTGTTAGACAATGACGTACCATTCACAATTATCAGTAAATTGAGGGATAGCATCAAAAGGGAATGTCAAGCTATCACTTGATTACAAATAAGAGTTGTAAGAATATTGTGGTTCACCGGGATACAGCATTACAAGTAGATATGGGGAGTTAAAATTCCATTAACGACTGACTAGAGAAAGAATTTGATGAGAAAATAAAAGCTGTAATTAATTACCAAAACCTAAGCACATACAAAGCTATCACCATTCAACCATAAAGTGAAAAGTTAAACTTAATAAAAAGGAAGGTAAAGTTTTTGGAAGATCAGCAACAAGCCCCTTCACTCAAATAAGTACAAATGAAACATGACTTCTGCTGAGAAATCTTGAAGCTTTCGCAAGAAAAGCGTGGAGTTACAAAACATGAGAAACCTTGTTGGGGGTAAATATTGTACTTCAGCATTGGAGAAAATTTAGTTGGAGTAGTAATGATATAAGTGCCACCCAACATTTAAAATTTCTATTTAATTCAATTTCCTTAAAAAGGGCCAGCTACATTTACCTTGAAGAGGTAGGTAACTCATCAGAAAGATCAAAACTGTGCCCTGTGCCTGCTGCGTTCAAAATATGCATTGGTGAATTGGATATGACTTGGTACATATTGATATTTTCTGAAAGCACTTACAAATTTTTGTTGGTCAGACACAGAAAATTTAAATAGTTTCCAGAAGCCACCTAACAAAAAAATACATGACATTGACAATTGAAAGGAAGATATTCTGTTACAGCAGGCAAGACATTCATGTGCTATACATCTTTGGTATTATTATTATTAATTACAAAAAAAATTGCACTCTTACATGCTTCTTCATTATAACATAATGGTAACCTTCTGCCAAAGTAGGCATGACGACAAGGTCCGGATAATAGATATTATCCAACACAGTTAGGCAAAATAGCCTAGCTGTGATGCATTAATATGTAAAATTAAACAACTGATAATTTTTTGCTTGGCATCAAATAAATTTCATGATGACTAAAATTTGATATTAATTAGCCTTCCTATAAAATTCAACTCTTAAACAAAATTAAAATTAGTACATAGCATAATTTTATCATGTGAAAAATGCTAATCCACATTCCTGGTAAGTTTGATGACCAAGAAGTTGAAAAGGTGAAAGGTTGGATTTCAATCAATCCATTGCAATATACTGAGTTTGACTCACATCAGCCAAACCACTGAATTGTCATATTTGAGAAATTGCATATTGTTAACTACATAGTACGTGTTAAATATTTTTGTGGAAAAAAAATATAAAACAAACAGGTTTGTCTCAAAGAACACACAATGAGGCTAAAATATCACAACAGTATGACTCTGTGTGGACTGCCTGAATCTGATCCATGTTACGTAATTAAATTATGTATTACAAATCAAATGTGTCCACTACACTGAGAAAACCAAAAGCTGTAAATCTGCGTTAAAGAGGGTAATGCTTTTTTTTCTGTTTCCCCCAAAACAATTTGGTGCGTAGCTCTAACCATTTAGGTACACATCTCAAACATCCTGAATGAATGGAATAGTATTTAGTACACAAAGAGGGAAAAGATTTCCATAGTATACAATTTGGACTAGTTTTAAAATACAAGGTTTGAATACATAACAATTCAAGAATAAACTCTGTCACAACAAAAAAAATAAAACACATTTACACTTAATTTGAAGCACTATTCCTTAATGATCTACAGTTACAGCTTTGGAAATCTGATCTATTTTACATGAACAAGAGTACCACTGTAGTTTGAGTGGAAACAACTGATGGAATGACAGTTCTGTTCATCAGCTACAGCTTATCAAATACAAGATATGATTAAAATTATAATACAGTAATCCACTTCATAGCCTAAAATGTATTTACAGAACACAAAAACAAAAGAAATCCCAAGTTGAATAGATCTTACTGACAGCAGGCTGGCATGTCAATATTATTGTATCTAAATTCAACCTAAAACACAAGAATTTGATGACAACAGACTAACAGTCAATTACAGTATAAAAAGAAGTAGGGGTAGGCCTCCACTTCAAAAAATATTCAATCTCACAAAGTCTATTCTTGCACTAATTTGCTACATTATCATATAGATAAAAATTTTAATTCACACCGATCTGCAGAATGCTTTCTTCACAACACTACAAAAATATCTTGTTTTGTAAACTTTTAACGAATAACTTCTCCAATCACAAGTAGGGAAGTAGCTGTTTGAATATTCCTTTTGAAGTTCCAATTAGCTAGAGAAACTACCCATGCATGATCAACTACAACAGACATTTCAATTAAAAATCAAAAGGCCATATAGATTTGATACTGATTGACTGAAAGTCACTGTATCTAAAAACTGATTATTGAAGAATAACTAGTTGAATTATTTTTATCGTAAATGGAGCCTACAATGTGACCAGAAATAAATGCGTAAATCAGCAATGGAGACAGGAGAAGAAATACACAAACAGCCAAATTTTCAATAACAGGTACGGATAAACAGCATTACTCACAAGTTCGCCTTGTTTTCTTCTTATATAATAAATATTGAATCATGATGAGTGAGTACAAAATCAGTAAACATATTGATTGGACCAATGTTACTTAAAGAGAGTTGACCTGTTTGAGCCCACACAAGGTTAGGCCCAAAGACTACAGCAAGATTTGAGGAAGTCATTTTGTTCAGATCACAGCGGTCCATCACCTAAACACAAAAGTGCCAGTTAGCTAAACAACAGAAGTTTGGAGGAAATCCAACAGCAATGATGAAAATGTGACTCACCCTAGAAAGGAATTGGACAAGGTACTTGAGAATCTGGTAATTATCCTCAGGAAGTTTCTCAAGAATTAAAATTTTTACTTGCTTAGGCCGATCATCTCGAGGTAAAGCTGCAAGAACATACCCTTAGTAATACAGTTCAGTTCTCAAGAAGAAAAGAAATACCGGTAGGTGCAAAGAACAGATGTAGGTATACCTTGGAATTGTGTTATTTCGTCATATAAATCAAATGTCATCAAAGGTTCTTCCAATTCTCTGAGGAATGTTTTGAGCAAGACAGCTGCAATATGAACATCACTGTGAAAGTCAATGCTTTCTCCTTGGTTCACTTTAGCTTGAAGTTCACGCACCAATGTCACATTGGCAGATCTTCTAAAGAGACCTTCAGTTTCTAAGGCTAGATAGATTTTTTAAAAATGGGAAAAACATGAGTAAACTGAAAAGATTATAGCATATACGACATTTTTCTAATATCAAAATACAAACCATCAGGTTGGCTGAGAAATTCAATGCACTGACGCATAATTGGGGGAATGACTTCACCTCCATTATTGTCTTTAATAAATTGTAAGGAAACACCAAACTGTTGTGTGATTAGACGACTCTGAACAGGACTTGATGGTGGAGAAGGTGTCACACCACTGGAACTGGATTGTTTGTTGTTCCTCATAGCAGTTCGTTCATCATGTCTGAAAAATACAGTCATCAAAATTTTATGGATAGAAGAATAATTATGACGAAAGAACAGTAAAATATCTAAAACACTAGAACTTTAACTCACTCAATGACAGCTTGTGGTATACAAAGTTGGTCCAAATCCAAATGTTGAGACAGCTCTTGTAAATAATTGACATACATAACTTTCCGGCCAAATTTAGCACTGAGAACAAAAATAAGTGAGAAGTAGAAATAAAAGACAAATAATATTTTGGATGAATGTGTTCACATAAAATCAGTACTAATACCTGATTACAGCCCTAAATAAGTGCCAAACAACACGGATGAAATTTGTGGGATGGACTAGATACAGTGCTTTTAAGTTCTTCTTATACTTTCGATCAAAAGCCCGATATGCCTGCCACAGCCACGATAGAGGTGGCTTGTTTTTGCTTGTAAGCCCGTGGTGAAAGTAAACAAGGCTATAGTCTTGCTCAACATACTTATCAAGGGTGTACATTAAGTACCTAGAATAGTAGGGGATCAAAAATGTGTATGTTTAAAACTAACTCATTAGAATCAGGTTTATCTTTGATATTAAATGTTAGTGATTGGATAAACTTTTTCAGACTTACCTTAATAGCCGAGTATGATCCAACTCTTTATTGCTGGGTAGTTTACAAGCAGACACAACTATGATTTTACGCCCAACAGTATCATCACCAACAACATCAACAATGCCGTAACATGACACGTCACTAAAATCCTCTTCATCCTCTGGATCATCTTCATCAAGGAATGGGTAGGACAAGCTATCCATTCCTGCAGCCATGGTTGGTGCATTGACTAGCTCTTCTTCGAAGTTTTCTTCAATGGTTCCGTCTGACACCGGTGATTCCAGGTAGTCCAGGCCACCTGCCTCCACAAGCTTTTCAGCAATAGCTGAAATATATTCAAACCGTCAAATTAGCTGCACTCACGGCTAAAGTAAACTCCATGAAATTTGATAAAGTGACGCAGAGATATGACTTGTATTGTAATGACACAGAGGTATAACTTTTATTATGATAAAACATCAAAGAAAAGTATGACTCGTGATAAAATGACGCATGAATCATTACCTCCATCAACTGCAGTGTGTTGGAGTTCAGTATCATCAAATTCCAAATTGGGTTCATAATCATGGTAATCTGATAAGCTTGGATAAGGTTCATCGCTGTCATGATGAGCTAAAAATAGTGGAAGAATAACATTGTAGTTCATATACACCACAGGAAGTGATGAGGAAATACACAACATACATATTTAATAAGCAGTAAAATTCAGTAGTAAAATAGGTGGAATATCACAAAAAAGTCACAAAAAAGAGTTGTATTTAACCACTTTAGGGTTACAGACGAGATAAAATAATAATATTGCACTAAAAATGAGAGTAACAAAACAATATGTGACGAAAGTCAAAAACTGATGGAAAGGAAAAGCCATGGCCTCATTTCAAAAAATTGTTTTGAGGGAAATGGTGAAACCAGTGCAATCATGAATAATTGACAGTAATAAACACATTAACAGAACAAGATGTGTTGGATGGAATACGCCCAAACCCTAATACGTGGGTTGTTACTTACCTAACAAGTTGCGAGATGGGCTAAATTTCGGCTGATAATCGGCCTCCATTTTGTCGTGAATTTAAAACTCACCCAGAATTAAATAACAAAAATCAGAACGCAGAAAACCATTGTTTTGACAAAACCGTATGTAAACAAAAGCCATAACATATAAGCCTATATGTCAATTAACCATTTTGATTCCGACTTTTCGCTTTTGACCCAGTAACTCTTCCCTTCTTCATTTGTCTACACAAAAGAGCGATTTTAGTCCATACGGCTAGACTCTTCTGTCAGAGCATATGTGACGATTTTACGTACGGTCTGCTCTGTAGTCTGATTAACGAAGAAGTGTTTTTCATACACCGCTAAAGGGTTCAAGAGGTTAAAAAAAACTTTAACTGTACCAATACTGAAAGGTTCAATAAATACTTTAAAAACTCTCCCAAGTCTGTTTCCTCGTTCCCACACCAGAAGCGCTAGTTGTGTCTCGTTTGGGCGCGGGCTTTTGAGTCTGAGCGGTCTGAGAAGCCCCATTCAACCTTTGCTTACCCTTGTTTTTTTGTTTTGTTTTTTTGTTTCTTTGTTTTGAGCGTGTACTCAATCCACGATCTCACAGCATTACATTGGAATTGAATTTAAAAGAAAACACTTTCACCTTTATCTTTTATTCACAGCTCCAATCTTCAATCGTTTTGGTTTATGAAAATTCGTGTTTTCAGGATAATCTTTACCAGCCGAGGTAGTATTTGAAGATGTCACCGCTTATAGTAACTTATACCAGGTGGCTGATTAACCCCGCGCACTACTGTGGTTAGACTGTACCGTACGCAAGAGTGCGGGCGGGCTTGCCTATCGCCCCTGTCCACGGCGCCTTACGGGCCGGGCGAGTAGGCAACCCGCCCGCACTCGTGCGTGCGGTACAGTCTA